CCCCCCCCCCCCCCCCACAGATGAACAGGATCTCCTCTTGGTCCATCGTCCTGATATGCCCGAGAACCCCCGGGTCCTACGAGTGGTCCTCCTGGGTGCTCCGAATGCAGGGAAGTCAACACTCTCCAACCAGCTGCTGGGCCGAAAAGTATGCTCAATCTTTAACCCCCTTTTCATCTCTCACTTCTTTTCTGTTTATGGATTGTTCTAGAGGGATCTGGGATTTCACTTGGGACTTCTTTGTTTCTGGCAGGTGTTCCCTGTCTCCAAGAAGGTGCACACCACTCGTTGCCAAGCTCTGGGGATCATCACAGAGAAGGAAGCTCAGGTGGTGGGTACCTGCAAAGGGAGTCCAGCAAATAGGACAGAGGGTAAACCTAAGAGGGTCCCCCTTACAGTTAGACATGAAGAAAATGATGTTTAGGTTCATTTCTCCATTAGGCCTCATGCAGTTCTCTCTCTACCTTCCACCTCTGGCATCTAGTCAGAAAGATCTCATTCCCTCTTCACTCCTTTCTAATCTTCCACATATTCACAGTCATCATCTTTCTCTTGGATCCCATCTAGAACCAAAACAAAGCTGGAGGGTGAAAATCTAAAGTCAGCTTGGCCAAGAGTGGGGGCAGGCTCCTGACATCAAGGATGGCCTTTCTCTCGCTCACCAGTCATAAGTGTTCCATCTGGGGGGCTGGGCATCTCTCTTTCCTGATTTTAGATTCTACTTGACACACCTGGTCTCATCAGCCCTGTTAAACAGAAAAGGTAATAGCTGTGGAAATGGGTATGTAGAGGGAAAGGTGTTGAGGAGAGGGCGGGGAGATTCTGTCATAGGGACTGGAAAACCCCCTTATACCCTCTTCCTCATCAGGAGTACATCAGTCATAAAACCCTTCCTGACCTATGTTTGTCCCTCAGGCACCATCTGGAGCTTTCTTTGTTGGAAGATCCGTGGAAGAGCATGGAATCTGCTGATATGGGTTAGACTCATGATGGGAATCTGAAGCCCAATTTACATGGTCATGGCCTCTCTCATTCCTGGTAGTTTGGGGGATGGGGGTTGGCCAGAGCCCATATCATGGGTCTTTTTGGGGGGTGAAGAAAGAGTGGTCATATCTTTGTCCTCCTCCCCACCCTGCCAACTTCCAGTTGTGGTTCTTGTGGACGTCTCAGACAAGTGGACTCGGAACCAGCTCAGCCCCCAAGTGCTCCAGTGCCTGACCCAGTTCTCCCAAGTCCCTAGCATCCTTGTCATGAACAAGGTGAGCACCACCTACCTGAAGGAGGGGTCTACTTTCCTCTCAGGTGCCCATCTCACTACCGCCCCACCCTCTGCCCATCCCCCATGCCCAGGTAGATTGCCTGAAGCAGAAGTCCATTCTCCTGGAGCTCACAGCAGCCCTCACTGAAGGTGTGGTCAACGGCAAGAAGCTCAAGATGAGGGAGGCTGTTCGCTCACAGGCCGGCACTCATTGCCCGGGCCCCGCAGCTAAGGGCCCAAACACACAGTCTGTGGGAGGCCCTCAGAAGATTGGCTGGCCCCACTTCCAGGAGATCTTCATGTTGTCTGCCCTAAGCCAGGAAGATGTGAAAATACTAAAGGTCAGTTGGCCTTGGCCATAGCCTGTCCTTTGATTTCCACCATATGAAGACAAGCCTCACAGTTCCTCCCGGAAGTAAGAGTGAGTAGGTAGGAAAGTCTTGGTTGGGACTGAGCTGCCCCACGTACCCTCTCTGTACCCACAGCAGTACCTCCTGGCACAGGCCCGGCCAGGACCCTGGGAGTTCCACAGCGGAGTCCTCACCAGCCAGACACCTGAGGAGATCTGTGCCAACACCATCCGAGAGAAGCTACTAGAGCACCTGCCCCAGGAGATACCCTACAATGTGCAGCAGGTGCAGGCACAGTGAAGGGGTCTAGGGGCTCTTCACCAGCCACATACCCAGAATAGGCTATCTGGGGCCCAGAGAGGTAGGGGTATAGGCCTGTCTGACTAATCATGGTATCTCCCTGTGCAGAGGACAGTGGTGTGGGAGGAAGGGCCAAGCGGGGAGCTGGTGATCGAACAGAAGCTTCTGGTACCCAAAGAATCTCATGTGGTAAGCTGGATTAAGCTTGGAGAAGGGACTAGGGGTCTATTAAGCAGGGGTTCTCCTCTAGCACTTAGAGCCCCGAGAGCAGCCTCATGGCCCTCTCTTTTGCTCCACCCTCAGAAGATCCTCATTGGTCCAAAGGGGCACTTGATCTCCCAGATTGCACAGGAGGTGGGCCGCGACCTCATGGACATCTTTCTCTGCGATGTTCGGCTCCGCCTCTCTGTGAAGCTTCTCAAGTGACCACTCTGCTGCCTCTCCCAAGGCATCAAAGCTGCTGGCCGGAGCCACTGACCAGAATGGTTCCTGCTCAGACCCTGCAGGGACTGGTAAGGGGCATGGACACTTCCTGACTAACTTGACCTTGCTTGAGTCTGCACAGCCCCTGCCTGGCCATTTTTCCCGTTGAAGGAAGGAACCGACCTTAGCTCAGTTCTCAGGTAGTTCCTCTGCCTCGGGCCTCCGCTGCTTAGGTCTAGAAGTTGGTTCTTTGGTGGGAACAATACCACACTGCTTCCAGCTGGCAATGAACCCAGAGTTTCTCTCTCAGGTGCCACTTGTTAGCAGAGAGGTTTTTTTTTTTTTTTTTTTTCTTATCCCCTCAGTTCCTCTACCTTGAAACCATGTGTAAGGACTTATGGGTCTTAAGTGAGATAGTGCCTCTCGCCCCATCCCTCCCCCTAGTCTCGAATTCCAATAAAGTTGAAAGACAAGCATACTGGTTCTCATCTTTATTTCTTTAGAATAAGAAAGAGAAAACTTAACCCGTTCCTTCACCCCCACCCCGTTGTTTGAGCTGGAGTCTCCCTCCCTTCCAGTGTTCCAGTGTTCCGCTCCAGGGTCCTGAGCTCTCTTCTTGGCACGTTTTCTGGGTGCAGCAAGAGAACCGTTACCATTACTAAACTCAGTAATGGTAACGGTTTCCTCGCCATTCCCAAGTGTCTTGGCGGTCAGCAGGCTGTGATAGGCTGAGCGGCGAGCCCCGTGGGTTTGCAGCATCCCCTGCCCTCCTCGTCTGGCTCCAGAGCTGGGGGTACCCGGACTAGTACATCATCTATACTGTAGTATCTCATCACAAACTTACAGTATATGATGATATCCCAGCCAGGATCCTGCAGCAGGCACAGGGGACTGTGGCAGGGAGAGCCAGGGGCCGAGGGCAGAGCAGGATAGGCCAGTGCTAGACACCCAGATCTCCCCCTCCCTGGTCCATAGCTCCTGAGCCGGCAACCCCTTGATACTGTGGTCAAGGGCGGCCCAAGTTGCATAGGCAAGGGGACTGGCCTGGAGAACCCTGTAAAGCTCAGGTCTGTTGAGATCTCCTCGGGGACCCAGCACCAGAATTAAACCAGAGATGATGTAATGAGGCAGAAGCTTCCCTGTGGTCACATCAACAAGCAGACAGGCCCAGGAGAGGGCACTTACCTGGAGCTGGAACTGCAGACTGTGGAGGCCTTTAGAGGTAGGGAGGCCCTGTCCTTGCCTCTCCACTCAAACTGCTTGCTTTTTAATCCACTGGCCCCTCCCCTGGGTGGGGCACTTTCCCGGGTTCTAGAGAGCCCCTCCTCTTAACCCTTTCCCTGCTGGACCCCTTGGAACAAGGGTCTCTATCCCCTCTCCCTATTAGGCCCTTTCTAGTATCCTTGCTAAGGTTAGGGTCTGTGCTTCGCTCCTATCCCCAATGAAGTTGGTCATCTATCTGCTGGGCCTGGGCAGAGGGAGAACAGACCTCCCCCTCCCCCCCATCCCTGGTGGAGGCTGTTGTTGACCATGGCAGTGGCAGCAGCAGTGGTGGTAGTGGGAATGTTAGTTGAACGTCTGTAAAGCAGGGAGGGTCCTGACAGCTGGATCTCTGAATTCTTGGGAAAAGCTCTGGCTTAAATTTCAGTTCCCGGGCCCCTGCCTATATTTATGTTGAGCCCAAGGAGACTAGACTTAGGCAGTCAGACCTCTTGCCCACCTCTGCCATGGCAAGCTTTCCTGGGTGTGGGGCCGGGGGCCAGGGTGGGGCTCTGCTGGTGATTTGAGGGCAGGTGAATTCCAAGCTCTTCTGAGAGCCAGCATGAGAATGGGTAGAGGCCTGGGCACCTGGGTGGTTCAGTCGGTTGAGCATCCGACTTTGGCTCAGGTCACGATCTTGAAGTTCTCAAGTTCG